AAAAAAAAAAAGAAAAATTAAATTAAATAAATCTTTTAAACTACATTTTTATCGCAATAAATTTCTTCAGTAAAAAGTATAAACGAACGACATTATTGTACGATAGTCGACTTTTTGATGAATACATTTTACAACAACATTTGGACTTCATTTCTAAAACTGAATTGCCGCTTTAAGTAGCTTAAGGATCAGTAGAAACAGTGTCTCTAAGCCGCTGAACGTAGCAAATAAAAAGTGAAGAACTTTCAACAAGTGCTTGATGAATCACCAGCAAACGACTCAGCGTAACATTTTACAACGGCTTCAAAGATGCGAGCTCACCATACTGTTGTCATAAAAAAATACAGAAAAATCTTATAAAGCATCTTATTACTACTTGTCGGCCAACAGTTTCTCAGCCTTTTTTGACAGCAACTGAAAGTAAAGAACGAAAGATCATTAACTGTTTCATACGTCATACTCATTTTCCACCTAAAATAACATGCTTACAGCGTTTCGGTAAAAAACAAAAAAGTAAGAAATCAATCCAGTTTTCGCAGTCGTCACAGAAATTTCGTTTGTAGCCGTCGATAAAAACAAAAATACCATTAACTTATAGGTAAAACAGTCAGACTTGTTTACAGCAATGGTAAAGACACAGGTAACATTGTAGATGTCTAGGTTTGAGACCGAAGTTGTAGAACAGAGTAATGGAGAAATCAGGTCGCATCACAAAAAAATGGCATCAAATTCGGCTGAAAAAACAGCAATGCAGATTGCGGCAATGAAAATGTGCTGTGGTCATAGGTAAACAATTCATTTTTGTTTAGATATTAGCAGAAAACAAAAGTAACACCGAAAACAAACCAAAGACGCTGACAAAAAGGCCATCGATTAGTAAACAAATTCAAATCTTTACAATATAACGGCGAAATCTACGGGTATATGCAGACAGCATCTAATGTTTTTAGGTTAAACAAATATTGGACAGTCAACTTTTCCATTATCCCTTAGTTGGACAACAACTACAACGACAACAAAAGCATATAATAAAGTAAGAAAGTATAATGAAAAGAAGAAGAAACAAAATTAACTGAAAGCAGTAAAAAGAATTTTTTCAATACTTCAGCTACGAATTATAAAGTCGAGTAATTTGTTAAGTACAACTATTCCTAGTAAGTTATGTACTCTAACAGTCTTTTCAGTTTCCTTATTTAAATATCTATTTAAGCAATTTTTCCTGCAAAATTGCGTTCAATATTGGTAGCTGTCTTTGTAAGCAATAATTGAAATACTCAAAAATTTAACACAAAAGCTTCATGATGTTAGTGATGATAATTGGTGATGATGATGATAATTGATGATAATTCGTTGAGAAGTTTAATAAAAACAGTAAAGGCTTCATAGATTCCAAATTACAGTGGCCATTTAGATTTTGTCATTTGATAGCATAAAAGTAAAAGAGAGAGAGAAAAAAAACAAGATAACAAAAAATGAAGCAGTAATATAAATTATACTGAACAATGATGCCATAGTTGAAGAAGATAGAGTAACGGGAATTCAGGACTGTTGGATTAAGCAAAGATAAACAGTTGAGACCAACTGTTGGAATAGTTATCTTCATGCAAAAGTTATTGTGAGCTTATTGACAGCACTTAACTTCTTGATTATTCTTTTTTCCTTTAGCTAAGTTTTACCACGTTTCTTAGAAAATTTAACGAAAAAAACCGCTGTAACCAACAATTAAATTATTTGTACTTCCTTCTGTTACTTACATATTGTATCTTTAAGATGAATTTATAAAACAAAGCTACTAAAGATTCTGCAACTGATAGATGTTTGGCTTTTAGCACTCCAACTTACTTCTTCTTTTTTTTTTTTTAATTTAATTTCATTCTCACTTTTATTTTTATTTTATTTTATTTTGCTTTTTTTTTTTCATCTTTGAATACCTTTATCATTAATACAGTTGGCTTATATAATTCTGCACAAATGAGCTGTCCTTGTATGACAGGGCTGAAAGAACAAATTTAAATTGCCAATCTCATCGTCCACAAAAATTTCAACGAAAACCAGATTATGCAGTTACTGTAACGAGACACCTCAGATACAGGTATACACCTGTTGATATATTTTGGTACTTTTTGTTTGAAAAAAAAATCTTTTTTTTTATTCTTTAAAACTAGTAATCAGTTATCATTTTTCTGTACTTTTATTTCTAATTTACCGTATTGGTAAAAACAATGTATAAAAAGATAAATAAATAAAACAGAGAAGAGGAAATGTGCTGTAATAAACAACCGATTAGTAACACACTGAAGCATGGATCCTGCCTAGTCATGTAGCTTTTTTTCCCTTTTTTTTTTTTTTCTGCTGAACTATACAGGTTGATTCCTTTCCTAATACATTAATTCTTCATCATATTTCTCCATACTGCCATATTCAAGGCTGTAAGTCTTATATCAATTTTTTACAGTTCGTGGCAAAAAGCAGATATTACCAATTATATCATATAAATGAGTTGCCTGTTTGTATATTTATAACATTCGTACAGGTTTTTTTATTTTCTTTCTTTTAATTTAATTTAATTAATTGATTAGATGATCAAAAAAAATTTTTTTTTTCTCTGAAGATTTTCATTTCTGAGTAACTCCGTATTTGAAACCATAGGACATGATTTATGCAAATAATTGTATAATAATACAAGAAAAAAAAAAAGATTCTCTCCATTTATCTCATGTTTTCACAAATCTATAGCTTTCAGAAATTAGTGAGCTTGATGATATCTAAATGCTTCAGTGGAACGCCTACGGTGCCAATCACGGGTCTTAATCCCGCTGTTAATCTCTGGTAAAAATTTTCAAGATTGTATCACTAACGAGCGCTTTATAGGTTTACTAAGTTTGGAATAGTTTGGCGTAACTTTAAACTTACTTCTCAGTTGTGAAATACTTACGCAAAGACAAGATGTATGCGTATGTGTGTATCATACGCAGTTCGGTTTCGTTGATGCTTCAGTTACGCCTGGAGAACAGAACTTACGATTTTGAACTGTTACTGGAGAAAGTTAAAACAGAAATTCCCAACATAGCTCTACTATTTCAACTGTCCGCCTTTCAAAGTTGTTTGAATAGCAAGCGTAGTATCCGACTCAGTTGTCTAACAGCAGCAAAAATGCTTTATAATGTAAAAAATGTTTTCGTTGGTATATCTGTATAGCTTGGTTTTCCGCTGTAAAAACCAAAATTTTTAAGGTCTTAAAAAGAACCTCCGCGTTCCGTAGAAATAAACAGCACTTGGCAGGAATTATGTAGCTACTAACGTGACCCCGGTGCAAAATAAGGAATGTGATGGATGTAATAAGGGGAATGTGTACGGTTGTTTTGTTTTGTTTACAGGACGATGAATTAAATGCGGATTTTCTCCTGGAAAAATAAAGTTTATTAAGTGCTTTTCCAACAAAGATCTTTATGTGCTTTTTGATACGCACGTTTTTTTGAAAGATTCAAAGAAAATATGGCTTTTTTTGTTCTAACTATTCGCATTTACAGTTGGCGAAATGTCCTGCAGACAGTTAATTCGACCTCTTGTTATTCTGAGTAGACGAGCAAAAAGCGATCTTCCTGAGAAGGTGAAGACCACGAAATTTATTGGACAAACTCTAAAAGGGCCAGTTTATGACGGATGGGCCTATTCGGTAATTCTTTTATTAAACTTTTTTCGTTTCAAGTCAACTTTTTTGGTCGGTAGTGTGCGATAGTTGTTTTTTGGAAAGCACTTTTGCTTTTTTTAACTCATGGTACGTGTAGGTGTTTCATTATCAACTCTTTGCTGTTTAGTTAGTTTCTGCATTAATTCGTTCGATCGGGATGTGTGAGGCATATTATTAACTCACTCGAAAACTGTAACTCACTTTAAAACTTTTAGAAGTTATATTTTTTATAGGCAGGATTTTTATCTTTCACGTAGTCATCTTAACTGCTAATCGGTTGTAGTCTTCACTTAGCTGATTAGATGTTTTCCTGTCTAATATTTGGTTAAAGCATTTGTAATAACTATTGTCTGACTAGATCATTCACTATGAGAAGGCATGAGAAGCAGAATAGTGAATGTCGCTATATGATGCGAGTTCTGAGGAACGGTACAGGCCGAAAAGAAATTCTGAGGATTTATAGACTTCATCGTCGTTTTTAATATTGGTGACTCCACGTTTTCATATTTCGTCGCTAGTATTTTTCCCGTCGTTACGTAGAAGTGAGGCCTGATTGTTTTTCCACTAATGCCCGAAGACGATCACAGTGAAATTGCACTGTTTCTGTTCAATGTAACTAGAACAATTTTTACAACTCCACTGTAACCCTTCTCGTATGAGAAAAGCAAAATCAGTTTTTATTGTACTTTTGCCACTGGCTTCAGTACTAGCATGTTACAAGAAAATCTTTTTTTCCGTATGGAACGTGGTTTTTTGGAGAACGAATTTCGCGGTTTCAGTTAAAAGTCTGTCAAACAGCGGTTTGCTGTATCGAAGAAAAAGAAATCGTTGCAGTTTGGAAAGCATTTTTTATTTATTTCCTTCAATTGGTCACCTTTTAGTTGTCATAACTTAACAACCGCAGCTGCTTGTACTTGCATCAGTGACATGGAATACGTTGTTTTAGTAGCAATATTACTTACGCGCAGATTTGAAACTTATTGCATACCATTTCCAACAACTCTGTTTCAGTAAGAAGTAGCCATCCTGATTTAATGACACAGTTTTCGAGCTCAAACTGTTTAGAAGGTTTTTTCCGAAACAGTGCAGCACGATGCACGGTACTCATATTGAGAGGATATTGTTTGAGCTCAGGATCATTCAGAAGTTTATCATGAAAGTTATAAAGGTCTTTTACCTCAACAGCAGTTTACTCCAACATTTTTAACATAACTGGATCAGTGATCGAATGCTTGAGCGAGCAAAGCTCTTCTAAAGTTCTTCTAAAGTTTCATAAGTTTTGTCACGTGGTGGATTATTACCTTTATTTTCAAACTAAAATATGCGGGGAGTAAGCGTAACTGCGGGGGTGTTTTAGTATTTTGATTTCTGTGGTTTTCAACGGGAATTTTGCGTTAGTCAATACAAATAAAAATTGGTAGAGGAGGCAGGTGTAACAATTGGTGGTATTACCCGAGGAATTTATGTTTTCGGCTGTAACATCTGATTTTTGGAAATTCTTCATGACTTCGGTCTCTTTACAAATTCTTTAAAGTCGTTATTGATGTTTCGTATTTTTTTTACAGTGTACTTTTTTCTTTGTATATTGAAATTTTGGTGGTTTTGGCAACAATTATTTGTTTATGTCTTTTTTCTTTTCAACGCATATTATCTGAACCGTGCACTATTTAGCGACTACCTTTCACTGGGCGAAACGAATATGGCTTTTATCTGGGAGTCGTTCTCTACTGTGCTTCTGCATTTTGGTTACCGTTTTTCGTTTTGGAATACCACATTCGTAAATCAAATCAGTGATGTGGACGTCTTATTCATATTTCATTTAGATAGCATTGTGCCTATTTTATATACTAGACTGGTGGAATTTTTTATGAATTTTATATTTTAAGACATAATTCAGATGTGTTTTAAGAATATTAGGATTTAGATCTGTGCTCTGTAATCGTAATTTTTTGTGAAAACGGCAGAATAAATCTCACTTTAGCAGTTTGGCTATCGAACAGAAGTAAATCAGCTTTCTGCATTTCTCTGTACTTGAACACGTTCAGGGTTGGCCGAATTAGTTCGAAAGAAATATTGTGTTCAGTTTTCAGGAAGCTTTTTGGAGAATTGATTGAAATAAAAGAGGAAGTCGACCGCAAAGTGCAGCTTTCAAATTTGGGGTTCAGGTTGAAATGATCCGGAACAGGGGTCTCTTTAAACTGCTTCGTCATGAATTTTGTTTGAATGGAGTCTTACACCGTCAGACTTCTACAGCTTCGCGTGTTTCAGTTACAGTTCCTTTTGCTATTCGAGTGAAGTGATTTTGGTTTCAGTAATTCTGTCTTTCCATTTTTATTGGATTCAGAAGTTTTGATGCCAATTTAGTTTTGGTGATTTCATAAAATATTAGCGGGGTTTCAAAGTTGATTGGTTGATGCGTACTCATTTTTCACAGTGTGGCAAAAACCTGTCGCTGAAGAGGACTATCTACAGTTTACTGACTGCATGGAGAGTTTATGCTTGATAACGGCATCAAGATTTTCAGCGTACTCATACCGAACTTCTGGAAGCTTTATCAAGTACAGTATCTGCTGATGAAACTGCACCGCATTTTTCTCTCATCGATGACCCGGCTTTGATACCCTCTGAAAAAATCCGGTTGAAGGATTATTA